GCATGGACTGACATATTATGCTCGTTAGATCACAAATGATTCCTTCCCATTTGCAGAAAAGAAAAGAAAAAAAAAAAAAAAAAAAAAAATGTCATCTTGACCCACACCCTAGAAGAGGAGGGAGCCCTAGAGTAAGCCCGATCGGTGATCATTCATGTCGTTTTTTTTTTTTTTTTTTTTTTTTTTTTTTCTCTCTCTCTCTACTGTATTCGTTTCTTTTTGACCCAGCTTGGACCACGTCGGGTTGAAGAGAATGTACATCACAAGGACCAACCCCACCTTCCCAGGCTTCCTTCGACCGCATCACCTCGGACCGGTCACCGGGAGTCTTTATGCAGTGGAAACCGAACAGTGAGAATCTGCTTTTAACTGGTTTCCATTACTTTACTCCCCCCCCCCCCCCACCCACCGTCCGATAGATACATTCTGCCCAGGTGCGTGAGCTAGTCCAGAGCGACGCGAAGACTAAATTAGCGATACAATGCTTCGAATTGGCGCTGACACAGTATTGAATGGGAGATGATGCAGTGGGCACCCGGTGACCAGCGCTGCAGCAGCAGCAGCTTTCGAGGTGCGTCGCAGGATGGCCAAGCCGTGAGATATCCGTTCGGCATCATCCCATCGCGGCAGGCACAAATGGGAATCGGGGGACTTGGATTCCCCTTTACAGGCTCCATGATCGGCATCGTAGGAGGGCGCCACAGGCAGCCAGGGCAATGCTAGGAGAGGATGCATGTGGACGTGGGCGTCGGGAGAAGGGAGAGAGTGTGCAAGGCATATCTCCACAGCATGTTCTCCCTCCCCTCCCGTGCGACCCACTCCTCCTCCTCACTTTCTCTCTCGTCTCCTCATGGGTTTGCAAATTCAGACGTGGGCTGTAGCGTGGCATCGCCATTCCCCGCTTTCTCATGAATCCTGCAGTAGCGTCGAGTAAGCTTCATCGCCGATCCGACGCTCGCTTCGGGCATCGCAGAGGCAGTGGCGTGACCCACACACGGGTGGATGAATGAGACTTAGATGAACTGTGAGATGAATGAAACGAGGATGATAATTATGGATGGCTGAATAGATGAAAATTGGGGTTTGTGTCGGATGGATGGTTTAGTTATGAATGGCCAAAAGAAACGTCGAAATTAAAGTTACTAAATGTATAAACTTTTGAACTTTATTAAGTGCGTGGAGCAAAATAGAGCAGCATTTGATAGTCTGAATTCCTTTAAAAAAAAGGTAATTAGTTCATGCTATTTGGTAATGTAATTTGATTTCAAATATTGAACATGCAAATATATATATATATATATATATATATATATATATGTGTATTTACATATGATTCGTTTGATCAATTCATCAACATTCCATACTTTAAATTAGTATCATGAAAAAGAAATGGTTTTTTTTCTTTTCCTTTTGATAATAATAATAATAATAATGGTAATAATAAAATTCATAAATTCTTATGTCACTTTACAAATAATTTAGAAATTTAGAGATAATTTTCAAAAAAAATAAAATAAAATAGTTCTTAAAATATGTATGTTTTTTGTGATATCCTTGCAAACCTTTTTCAAAATCACTTATTTATAGATATGTTGTATACAACAAGTATGGCTCATAAATTAATTATGTACTAGAAATGTTGTCTCCAAAAAAGTTTACATTAAGCATTTTTTATATTTTATATTTTTTATATGATTTTCTTAAGTGTATAATTTATTTATTAGTTAGCAATAAGATAAATAAAGAATGTAGTTTTTATTATATATCAAATAGTAATTGATTATTTTAATAAAATATACATTTAATAATTAAGCTCTTTGATTAACAATTGTTCAAAACCACTTTCAAAATTAATTTGTCTTCCAATATCATTCAATAAACTACCATCTATGAAGAGTCAAGTTTAGATAGAGAATTTTGCCCTCCATCTATTGTATCCTTGCTAACCTCAAGCTTCAAAACAACAAGAGAGTTGAACTTTCTGTAATAACAAATATTCCTACATTTTGAGAAGTGAACATGTGTTAAAAAGATTGCTCAACATAGCAAGCAAATTTCACCATATTAAGGAATTCACAAGCTTAAACTCAAATATTGGCATTTACTTTGCTTTTTCTTTATCTTCATGATTTAGCCAATTACACTGAATTATTCTGAGATATTGCATTTTTTTATGAAGTATTCTCAACCTTAGACTACTTTTGGGCTATTTTCATCTCTCTTGCATACCAACTAAAACAATATCATTCATTTTTTCTGAATTTACTTCAATTTTTTATTAAAACAAACATCCATAACAAACATTCATCCTTCAAAAGACCTAATTTGGGCAATAGTTCTAAGTAACAAAAGACAAAGAAGAAGAATAGAAAGAAAGAAACAATCTATGAATGACTTCAACAAACATTAGATTCTCTTTTAAAGTTACAAAGATTTTTTGAAATTCAAATAACATTTATAAATAACATCTTAATGTGAACACACACACACACATATATATATATATATATATATATATAGATGTGCAAAAACATTTGTTAATAATTATTTGTTAATGAGTTCTTTGATTTTGGCCAATAAGAAGGATTCTTTCGTCTCTCTTTGTCTTCACACCTAATCTTCCTTATTATACAATAGATACATATCACAAAGTGACTTAATCCACGTTCCATTGATGACGTCAGCAGAGTTGGACGGAGGCCTTCACAAGAAGCGTTTATACAGCGCGGGAAGGGCGACACGGAGGATTGGGTGACGTGGCGGGAAACCCACGTGGCTGTTCCCGGCGATACGGGTCGTTGGTTCCGGCTAAGGTCCAGCTGTGTTAAGCCCACAGCCGCGGGAATGTTTTTTCCCGCCACTTTGATCTTCTTCATCCAAAGGAGACTGTCCAGGGCGACGTCCAGGCCCTTGTTGGACCCTCTTGCCCTGTATCTGCCCCGGTACTGTACTTCAGGAAGGGTTTGGATGGCTTTCATCGTAGGATGAATGTACTTGAAGACAGAGGAGTCATTATTGTGGTTATTTCATCACTTTCATTTCGATATTCAAATGCTTGTTTTTAAAAACAATTAAAATTAGAAGATATTTACATAAGAACAGAATATTAAAGATGCAACAAAACCAGAATAAATCACACAAGTCCCAACAAGCACATTAATAATATCTAAGTTTGCTAAAATAAATAATAAATGTTTAAAAGTTCCAAAAATTTAGACAAATAGTAAATAACAAAGACAAAAAGCAAACAGGAGCAACAACTGCAGTTCTAAATGCCACTCTAGTCAATAATAGTCCATGGTTTTAAATACCATAATTTGTGTACTAAGAGAAATAAAAATGAGGGTCCTATTACATACTTTGCATTACAGTAATTGGCTTGAATGTCACAGTATAAATAAGCATCAAGAAAATAATGGGTGAGTCCAAAGATTTTTTTAATTTATATTTTCCACAATGTTTCATTCAAAGATTTGAATTTTATTGAGTTCTTAAATGATTTTGGCGATTTCTAAACTTTGATTGAGCCAGTAATGCAATAAATTAAAATTTGATAATAGCGTTTTTCGGTTTACATTATACTTTAAGTATAGGTGATTATTGCAAATTTAATTTTCAGCCTTAGTTGCTTATATTTTCAAAAAAAATTAGAAATATTACTTGTTTTTCATTAAATATATTCTTTTTTTCGTTATTATGATAATTTATAAATTTTATATTAAATCTTGTATTTAGTTCTGCGGATTGTAACGAATATTTTTGGAAAGGGAATACAATTCTATTCATACATCTGTCAAAAAATTTAAATTGAAACATGTGTGTAAATATCTAATATTTATTTACTGCACAATTTTACTTCTATTAAAACTTGAAAACAAATCATTACATTTTAAATAAAATATTATAATTCTTTATCTTAATACAATACATATATCTAGACATTTTTTTCCTCCAATACTTTAAAAATCATAATAGCACTTGTTTAATAAATGATAGTCTAAGAAAACTAACTTGAGACAACTAAGTATTTAAAGCTTCATAACTAGTCAAAATTTAATTACTCTTTAATATGATATTTTTGAAAGGTATACATGCATAAATTCAGAAGTAATAAGTGGATATAGTTATGATTAATTGGTAATAAAATCACAATTGTACCAAATCAATCTCTTTATAAATATACATGTAACTTTTATATCCTCACAAGCTAAAATCTGATTTTTGTTGTGGCAAATTTTTCCATTTTTATTTTTATTTTTAACGGAAATAAAATAATTACACATTTTGAAATGATATTAATTTAAAAAATTAATAAAAATTAAGACAAAATTTATAATACTTTTATTTATTTTTTACAATCTATCATTTAAAGACTTTAGAATGTTCCAAAATGAAATGAAGTTTTAATGTTTTCAACAATGTGTAGATTTTAAAAACTGAAAGTTTTACATGTAATATCATAATTTTAGAATTGAAGTATATATAAAGTGCGACTAACTTGAACATATTTTTCAAATGTAAAAACGAGACATCATAATATTGTTGAATATGTCTGAGACTGATGCATTTCAATTTCAATCGGTAAATATAAATCAAGCACAATACTGGTTTGGGAAAAATTGGTTCATTCTCAGTTTTTGGTATGTGCAAAACTGGTGCATTGTAATATCACTTAGTAAACAGAATTGATATGTTTCAATAGGTATAATATATAAAATTGGAACATCGTAAAACTACCTCTGATGTTGATGCAACATCATAATCCTCCAACTTTGGTACAATCTCAAAAAAATTATGTGAGACATTTCATCACATACTCATTCAATTGCAGGAATTGTTTTCATGTATTCATCATGCATAGTTTTTCAAGTTATATCTTAAACACAGTTCTTTGGAAATTCTATCTAAAACACATATTTCAGCAACTTTGGGTGAGGGCAGGTGCACTTGGTTCAAACCGTGTAATCCATGGCATGGTAAAACAAAATTATGCAAATAGAGAAGGAAGCTAAATAAATAAATAAATAAATAAATAATTGCAGTTTTGGATTGTACACATGCAACAACTGAAACCTAAACCTGCTCTTTAGGCTATTGTCTACATAAAAGAGGATGTTTCATAGAATGGAAGATGCTCCAGAATAACACAATGAATCAAAAATGAAAAAAAGAAGAAAAAAAATAAAAACGTTTCGAATCTATCCACAGCTGTAACTCCAAAACTTTCAAGAGAACACAAAACTGGTGGCTAAGAGCTTTAGCTACAGGAGAGTTGAGGAATCAGCCAGCTTCACATCACACCACAGTGAGCACACAAACAGCTTTGAAGTAAATGAGCGGCACTATTGCACGAGTAGGAGTCCATTATAACTGATGTCTTGTGCTGTTTGAAGAGACCTCACCACCACACAGCCACTTCATGTGACGTTGACCTTGTCAAAGATGAGTAGTGATAACTTACCTGGATTCTCTGTAGACAGCAAAACCCAATTTGCCTCCATTTAACTCACCAAATCCAAGGATAATTTCATGACCTTGAGGAGTTAATGAGCTGCCCAAAGTTGAATCGTCCATTGTGTTTCCCTGTTGCCTGCAGATCCAGCAACAATAGGCAGCAGGGGCATACACGCAGGAGAGTTTGGAAGATGGGCAAGTCATTTCATGGTTGTAGATCAAGATGGACTTTCTGGAGTGGAATCATGGTTGAAGTTTGGGCAATAGCAAAGCTATTCACAACCGAGATGCACAGCGTCAGTCCTCGCCCTCGGAGTCTGTCACATTGAAAATGAGGAAACATAAACATTGAGGATACCCTGCCAAGGGGATTGAAACGGGGGGAGGGGAGCAGAGAGTGGCAAGGACATGCACCTGATCGGACGTCGTCACTCACTTTGCCTGAATCTCGGAACAGCTTCACAAGCATTCGACAAATGAGGATCCACCAATAGATGTGGAAGATGAAGAGCATGATGAGGAGAGTGCTTTGGAAGTAGTACTGTTTGAACTCTTTATTGCCCCCGAGGTCCAGGTATTGCATTACTTCCACGCTGCCATGCCCACCATCCTTCCCTCGTGATCATCACCACCAGCATGCGCAATGTGACCCAAGACATAGTTTTACCCTTTACGCAAACGTGTTGCAACTACAGTTCTTCAATGAGACCGGAGCAGAAAGCGCTCGAGGAAGAGTTGGCATGTCGAGTACCGCAGTATGATTCAAGGAACAGTGTTAGATTTATGAAAGATGGCATGGAGTTACCCACCTGATGCTCCAGATGATCCAGAAGGGGAAGATGACGAGACGAAGAACGAACCACGACAGGGCGAAGAGGCCAAAGCACACGCTGGCGCCCACCTCAAAGTGTGAGTATTTGCACAGCTTGGCGATCTCCAAAAACACATCACTAATGTCGTGCAATAGCAGGGTGCTAATCCCCGCTCGGTATGATCTGCAACGACACAGGATTGATTGTGTCAAGCCTCATTACTAAAACCGACTGCAAAATGGGGTCTCGAAATTATTTTTGCATCAAGTCTTAGCGGCTGTAACAATACCCTTGCACGTAAGAGAAAGCGATAAGACCGATGGTGATGAAGTGGTGGGCCATCATCACGCCGAAGTCCTTCCGACGAGTTTCCCACACCATCAAGGCAGCCACGCTGTAGACGTAAAACCCGCACTGAAACGCATACAGCACCTTAAGCTTGAACCTACAACAAATCCAAAATCCTCTTGAAACCATTTTCCTTTGCTGGCTTTCCAGTAAGCATCAGAACCTCGAGATTCAGTCCTGTGATTAGGTTAAAGAGCAAACCATGCCTGTATATCACTGTACCATCGGTGATTTCAGAGTTGGATTGCTTCTGTGAACCGACAATCCACAAGGAGATAATGTAATGGGGGTATTGATCGTTACTTGATTGCGTGATTGGGCCACTCGATCCAAAAATGCTCGGTCTTGCCGAACCATGGCTCATTACGGGCGGAGAGAAGTAGCGTGGTGGTTGTAAACATGTAGTAGGTTAACTTCCATGCTGACTCGGTGAACTTCGAGACTTTCTTCTCATTAACCTCCAGCAATCGTTTCTTCGTGACTTTTTTCTCACCGGAGAATAGCAATCTTCTCGCAGATTTCTGTAACCAAGTTGACGTATCATGAGAAAAGCAAGTCCTGGTAACCGCAACAGTAATACTTGTCTTGAGTTGAAATGGTCAGCATCTGGATAGATGTAACACTCTCAAGAACCAGCGACGTGTTGAAAGGAAACTTCGCTTTATAGGGACTTCCATGAGCTTAGAGATAATATGACCCACCTTCAGTGCATTAAATGTGGTTAACATTTCGCAATTTACCTCAAAGATGATGCTATCCAGGAAGAGGCGTGCAACTGGGAAGAAGCTGGCAAAGAAAACGGCCATCAGGTAGTCTCGCCAATGCGGCTGGTCTTCGTGTTCCCACATCGACTCCATCTTCTTCCAATTCTATTTATGCTCTCATGGATGATTTCGAAAAGAGTAGATGATGCCGAGGATCTGGATCATCCTCGATCTCTCATATTGAAATCACGCACCTCGGGATGATTGATTATGAACGCAGCATCCAGAAAGAGTAATTCTGTTCTTTGATGATACCACAAATAAACATCAAGATTCTGCCTTAAAGCTAACGACGACGAACATGTTCCGAATCGATCCACTGTATGTCCTTGCACTGAGTGGAAAGCCTGCCATACTACTGTCGAGACACGTTTCGCTAGCTTGCACACATAACTGTGCCCAATTATGAAGTTATCCTCTCAAAATAGGAAATAGCGAATCGGCAGCGTCGTAATCCTCTCAACAGAACAAGAACAAGAAGAGCATCATTGGAAAGAAATTACCGTTACAGTAGCATAGTTGGATGAAATGTGGAGAAAAATGCGTTTCTTGTTCTTTCTTCGCTAGGGGTTCGAAACTTCGGGTTTGATGTTCGATTCGTTCCACACTGCGTCTAGTATTTCTTAGGATTCAAGCCCATGCAGCTGCGTTCTACGCAAAGTGACAATCACCTCTCTTCCTATAAGAACCAGAATAGGAGGCCGCTCATTTATCTTACACGGATCAACTCATGCTTCGTCTGGCCTTTTGACAACTTATGATGTAAATTCCACGAATGTACAAGCAACAAATGAAACGCTGCAATATATCTTACAGAAGATCGTGAAGTGCTAACATCCAAGGAAAGAAGTGACTACAAGCGAGTGATCAATCAACAAACTGAACGGGAAGCTGTAGACAAGCACTGCAACCAATAAGCTGGTCAGGAGACTTCGACGTGAAGATCACATGTTACCAATACTGCGAAGGGACCGAGAATGTAGCATCAGAACGGCTGTATCGTTTTACTTCACGCTCGAGAAGATATGTTCTGCCAGTACATGAAAGAGCGGGGTCCTCTACTTTGGCCAACACGCGCTGAGAAAAACTGCAGTATCCTGGACGGGCTAGAAATACCAGGAGTCTTCAGAGCAATAGCTAGCTAATGCACATACGTCCAATCCCTCTGACACTATTCTCGCAGTAGCGACAAGGATTCTACTAGGTCAATTACAGTTGGACCTCTCCACAATAAATTGACCCATCAGCTTTAGCCCACCTCCCCATCATCAAAATAATCTCTTTAGACTAAGAATAATAGTCATCTGTAAATGCGCTCCAATTTAGTCGATCTTCACTGCAGCATAAATCGTGCGCACAAACCAGTAGCAGGCGTAGAAGCCCATAGTTCCAGTGAGCACAAAGAAGGAATAGGAGATGATGAGCATGTAGCCGAAGTACAAGATCCCAGATACAACCTTAGTGATGTCAAGCTTCGTGAAGAAGTAGAACGCTGCATACAGGAAGAGGTATAGAGCGGATGAGCCAGCTGTAAAATATGCCCTCCACCACCAGTTGTAGTCTTCGCTGCACAACTGGAAGTAGCAGAGCACAATGGTAATCTCGGCGCACGTCACCACGAGGATCAGGAATACCAAGAAGAGGAAGCCAAAAATGTAATAGAACTTATTCAACCAAATTGAGGTCAGGATGAAGAAAAGCTCAATGAAGACGGCTCCAAAAGGCAGAATTCCTCCGATCAAGATTGAAAATACGGGCTGCATGTACCAAGCCTGTTCCGGCACTTGTCTGGGAATCTTGTTGGTTCTGACCGGGTCATCTACAGCGGGTTTCTTGAATCCAAAGTAGCTGCCAACGAAGACTAGCGGTACGGAGATACCAAACCACAGGAGGACAAGTGCAATCATCGTCGTGAAAGGAATAGCTCCTGAGGATTTTTGTCCCCAGATAATAGCGTTTAAGATGAAAAAGACCACAAAAACGGCGCCCGGGAACATGAAGGCCGTCTTCAGGGTATTGAGTTTCCAGTCAGTGCCCTTGAATTGCTTGTAAAGACGGGCGGAAGAGTACCCAGCGAACAAACCCATGAAGACCCACAAGAGAAGCATGGCTGTCATAAGGCCACCCCTGTTTGCTGGCGACAGAAAACCAAAGAGGGCGAAGATCATTGTCACCACGGTCATTCCTAGGAATTGCACCCCTGTGCCCACGTAAGCACACAGTAATCCAGCATTGATGGGAGGTCTAAACACGTCTCCGTGAACCAGTTTCCATCCAGTTTCTTCTTGGGCTTCCTCTAAAGTGTCCAATTGATTATAGTTTGAGATGTCGCGGTGGAGGGTTCGCATCATGATCATGGCTACCATGCCGGAAAGGAAGAGGACAATCATCAAGGAATTGATAATCGAAAACCAATGGATCTGGTCATCTTGCGACAGTAAATACGTGTCCCACCGAGATGCCCACTTCACATCACTAGGCTGCACACGAACCCATTGACGTTACCAAAGTAGCCGTAAAGCGGATTTGAAATCCTTCCGAGCGATTGATACAATAAAAATCAGTATCACAACATACGCTTTGCAATCATGATCACATCCTACTGCATGTTGGGCTAGATCGGCACCAAAATAAAAATACACAACTAATTAATACAATTTAATCACATGCGGTACTTCTCAAAGTCGCCGATACAAGACATGACAGCAAGCCTTCGATTAAACAGACACTGATAGGTGAAGAGACCCTAGTAGACAAAGACCATAAGGAGTGTAAATAGTACCAAATACTTACTACGAATTTCACGTCGTATGTAAAGATTATTTCTCCATCCGCCACGACTTCCTGAGGAGCTTGATGACCGGGAACAGTCACCTTCTGGGCTGGGTTACAAGTCTTCAATTTAGTCTTCTCATCTTCCCATGTTCCATATTCATGTTTCACACTGCAACACCCTCAAACTGAATCAACTCAACAAGCAGGCGGATTTTAATGGACTAATACACATGCTTTCCACCTATCAAACCTAGCCTCGCAATCAACTACCTTGTCGAGAAATTGTTTACTGGAGTGCAAAGCAGAACTTTACACCTGAATTAGGAGGACTACTAGATCAGATTAACGCATTCACAGAGAACCAAAAGGAAATGATAGAACTCCTATCCTCAAATAAAAGAGCTATACGTCTTTGGGGTTTATCAGATAACAAACCTATGAGGAGCCACCTCAAAGCCAACGATTCTGGAATCTGTAGAGACAGGATCTTGGTGATACGACACAACGAAGCTGAGGTGGTTAAAGATGAAATACTTCAAATCGACTTTTTTCTCTTCATTTTTCTGCAAAAAGACCATCAATATAAGCATACAAACTACGCGTCCTTAAGCAATCTCCGAAACAAACAAATCGGGGTCACGCATTCACAAAAGATGGAGAGCACTCACTACATCACTCAAGGACAACGTTTGACCAACGGGAAATCCCCGGTCATAGATCTTGATTCGGCTTTCCGTGTTGACCATTGCCACTGGCAGGTTATCAAGGATCCTGCATAAGAAAATAGCAATGAAATGCTAATTAATGAAGGGGTGAAGGTACAAAATCTTGAGTATTCCACTTGCCTGGAAGAAACTCATTTATTCGTAGATAAGCATCAATCAAATAATCCACTTGCAAGGTATCATTAAGGCAGGCATTAAAACTTACATGTTCACACGGTAGTCATACTTAATCCTTTCTTTGAAGATCTTAGCAGACTTTTCACTGAGTTTTGTTTTGCAAACAATTTTACATTGTTCATTCACCTTCATTTTGAACTGTAAATGAACACAGCATTCACGTTGTAAGCGGACAAAGAGGATCCGTTGACCTCCACCTAATTTCAGAGAAACGCGAACAATGCATGGATAGACAATTTATTGTTCTCTAATCAAAGCAGTAAACTAATGGTATACTATATAAAACCTTTTTAAGATGATAGGACTCCGAAACTTACGACATAAGGAGAATTCTCTATGCGGTCGCCACGAAGAACCTCACCAAGGTTCTCAGCCATGTTTTCAACCTTTTTTGGCTTGCAGTAGTCAAGAGAGTAATACTCATATGGTAGCTGTGTTTTCGTGGACGTTAATTTGTTCACCTTCACTTGGACCTTATCACCCTGTTTCAGGCACACTTAAAATCATTCATACTTGCACTCTTTCAGTTTATTTTAGCGACGCTTAGCCTTGGCGCAGTACAAGACTTTCTCAAGAAGGGTTTTCCACCACTTTAAATAGAAGGCATTACGGATGTCTCTTAAAGATTGAGATGATGGACTCGCATCGAGTGCTTCCAAACATAACAGAAACGAGCCTAGCCTTACCATCAACATTTCGCAGCATAGAACATTAAATTAGCTGATACCAGATAATGCGCTACCGTTTGACAACAGGAGAGTCACTGTCCACCTCCACAGCGTGCAAGCATATATCTACTCAACTACACTGCCATACTCTTAAGTAGCTACGCCCTTCCGGAGGTGTGTGGGGATGCCCAACGATCAATCGCTGGTTACATGCTTTCAACCACGCAACTGTGATCATCTCTCTACAATTATCAATTAGTTCCCTCAGATTCTGAGAGCAAACTATGCCAGTAACATAATATAATCAAGCCGACCATGCGAGGTTCATACGAACGATGGAATAGAAGAACTCTGACTCCCAAAATGCCATACGAGGGCTGCTAATGAAATTTACTGCCTTGACAATGTAAGCAGTGATCATCTTGTCCTTTCTGACGCGTGGACATCACCGCGCGTGGATTGTGCTTCTAGCAAAATGACCTTAACTGACCCAAAATTTATGCACCAAAAACCTGCCGAATCAATTCCCAATAATGATATTATCACGAGAAGGAAATGAACTCCCCCGTTCTCGATGTTTCCAATAGTATGTGTGGATCACACAAACGACCAACATCTTATGCTGTAACTCAGAAAGAAGTTCCATGATTCATTTTTAAAAAATAATAGAAGATCGACCAAATCAGCTCAAATTGGGTCATTGCTAACACCACAGATCTACCAACATAACAAACAATGCAAAGGCACATCGGCGCAACCCACCAAAGAAGTCGCGGCCTTGGCACATTAGGTCTCACATGCATGTTACAAATTTTAAGCAGCAGACCAGAGTCAGGAAGACCCAAGTGCCAGGAACCCATTATCCAAACCCCACAACCACAACCCCCACTTCCCACGCCCCTCGCAACCCAAAATCTGGCCCCGTGGAAACAGAACTCACCTGCGCAAGGTCCAGAGGCGCCACACCAGGCAAATAGAACCCAGACACAAGTGGCAGCGTCAACAGCATCCAAACGACGAGCGAGGAGGCGGCCATCGGTACCGCCATGGCGACCACGAGCAACAAATTTAACAGTGGAGTCCTTCTTCCGAGCTCGATTCAAGCGCGCTAAACCTCAACAAACACCCACGAGGCGCAGATCCCACCCCATACTCCAAAAAACACGAGCGAATGCGCACACGAACACCGTCTCGCGATTGCGAGGGTTTGTTACAATCCCACCGCGAAGAGCAGCTCGGCAACGCTTCCTCGACTTCCCCCGCCCTCAAGCTGTGCTTTCACGGTTCTAGTCTTCCACGGCCTTGGGGTCGTTTTATCGGGATCCGGTCCCCGTGCTGCTTCCGACGAGATCCGATTACCACCTGCTTTTTTTCTTCATGTACTTTTTCACACGCCACCTTTTTCGGGAAAGTGTGCAGAGGCTGCCCGTTTTTGTGGTTCCGAGGCCCGAAAACGGTGCAGGGGATACTTTTTTCGTAGCGTTGTCTTTTATTTCTCCGCCTCGTATTTAGTGTGGTCGTTATTAGTCTAGTCTTGGGTGTCATGTTCAATCAGTTCGTTCCCTCATGGAATTATGCTGGGAAAGCAGGTTTTTTGTGGGCGTTCCCTGCTCCTCCACGGTAGACGTGGACTTCAATGATTTGATGTTTCAATCATTGAGAGGGGAAACTAATAGTTGTTTTATTGGTTTGGGGTTTTAAAAAAGAACTCGCATTAACTCCTAATTAGTCTCGTCCTCTTTTTAAACCATAGTTCCAATTGGTTCTGTAAGTGTTGATTTGCATGTATTTATTTTTCTAATTTTACCTACTCTACGCTTTAAATGTTTTTTTTTAGCACGGACCTGGCACCGTAGGTGATTAAAAGAAAATAACCATGAACGTGTTAAGAAAACGGTAAACAGTGGTTTATACAGAGAATTTACCAAATTCCTTCAGGAATAAAAAGACGTGCATTTATTATTGTTATTATAACTCTAAATATTTTTCTATTACTTTTCATCACATATAGTATGGTTTTGGGTGTTATGAAGAAATTCATTAGCCAATCAAGGCTTTGCAGATTTTTGGGCCAGTTGTGGGGCCAGATGAGAAGATTTGTAAATCCAAATCCAACACCATGGCTCATTTAATGAATGATATTATAAAGATATGCAAATAACCTGGAAATAGGATTATTTATTATTGTTTCATGAAAGGCAAAGTTATTTTGAAAACACACCATCTCAACAATTAGATTGAAGTCTTGAGATGTGTTAATTTTAAAAGTAATCCCAATGAATTTTTAAAACTTTAAAATAAATTTCAGCCACAATCTTTTTTTACTATTATTATCACGTAATTAGTTGGATTGTATAGTAACCAAAATCATGTGCATATTTATGGGTTAAAAAATAATCAGATTTGCCCAAATGTCTATTATTAGATCGTGTGTTGATTGATGTATTTTTCATACAAAGGTCATACAAAACAAACTTCTTAAATGAAGATACATTTAAATAAAATTAAATAAAATAAAGTTTACTCCAAACCATTATGTATATTGAAATAAGAAAGCCACGAAAAGTAAACAAGTGATTTATTTTACTAACATTAAATTTACATTTATTTTTTTAACCCATAAATATGCACATGATTTTAATGGTCCCACTAAGACTTATTTCTCCATTGTCATTTAATATTTTTTTTTTTATTAAAACACCGATAATATTGTAGAATTTAGCATTTTCCATATGAACCATGGATGAAAGTATGCCATGGTGTGGTGCCTGAGGACCAATTTCACCAATTTGCTCTGAGGATTGAAAATATTGTGGCTAGAGATCAAGCCCCACTGCAACAGGAATGACATAATTTGTGGAACCAATTAGAACACTATCAAAGGAATAATTTGATTGGACCTTTTAAAACAACTTCAATATGTTTACCTTTTTAACTTTTCAAAGTTCATGTAAAAATGATCATTTGAAATGCATTGTATAATTGACAAATAAAATAAAATTGCATAGCTTTTGCAGAGTGGAGATGTGAATAAGTATATATATATATATATATATATACATACATACATACACACACATAATATTATCAACGACAAACATGAATGAATGATTGAACAATTAAATAAATAAACCATTTCATAACAACTTCTAACTAAGTAAATTAATGCATTATTATTGTTTTTAATTATTTCATTGACCAACAGTAGTATGATGTGGAAAATTGTGATCACATATTTTGTATTAACAAATCAAGTAGTAGAAATTATGCATTAAAAATATGCTTCACACATGTGTTGTAAAGGAACTAATTTTGTCTTTGAAGCATGTGTAAATATGTGTATATATATATATATATATATATATATATAGACACATATATATATATATAGACACATATATATATATACAAAGCCTAAAAGATATTCTTACAAGCATTAAGTCACAACAAGAGTTAAATATTAGTGGGTTCTTGCAAAGAATACACTAATATTTTATATTTTAAAAAAAATAGTTGATTATGAATTTAAATATAAAATATTAGTGTATATATATATATATGTATGAAAGCTTAAATTTTTTATTATAATAATATAATAATATATTTATTATTAATGTATAATTTTAGACTATATATTTGTAATTTTTTAATGCATGTCCATTATCTTTATTAATTATATATATATATTAATTATATATATATATATTAATTATATCTTTATTAATTATATCTTTATATCTTTAATTATATTTATTTATATATATCTTTATTAATTATATATATATATATCTGGGAATTTTAAATAGATTTAAGTTTTTTCTAAATCAATCCATCCATTTTAACTATCATGAAAAGAAAGAAAAAAATAACTTTTAGATTCATTTCTATACTATTGGATCTGCACCCAATAAAAATCAACCATATTCATCATGATTATCATATTCTTTATCAAAGATAGTTCTATTTAGTAAAAATATGGATTTATTTAATATTCTCTTTGTTTCTTTTTTTGTCTTTTTTTTTCTCTCTTTATAAATATATATATATATATATATATATATTAATTTCACAAAAAATTTATAAATCCAAATGATAATTTTTTTATCCACATTATTTTAAGGAAAATGATAAAGTGATCGAAATTTTTACTAAATCAATCTATCCTTACACTCCTATGTCATGTCCTTGTTCCTAATGTTCATATACCTTATTCTTGTATCTAGTCCCTTGTTTTCCAATCAGCCCTTTTTTATCTCATTCCTCAATCAACCCTCTCCAACTCCTTTCTTCTATCAATCTTCTTTGACTTCATTCTCCAATTACTCCTCCATGACCTTGTTCCTATGTCAATCCTCTCCAATCCCATTCTCTGATCAAATCTCCTTGATTCCATTCCTTAGTCAGCTCATCATAATTCCATTTGACAAATTTCAATTTGAGAGCTACTTTTGCCTTATCAATATCATGCAATGAGGACTAAAAGCTCAATTTTTTTGGTAATCGTCATGATTCTATATGTAATTTGTTCTTAACTTGCTTTGAGCAAATTACAAAAGCTGTAATAATCCTGGATTGTTATGATTGATTTTGGATTTTTGAGATAGTAATCTTACAATATTACCAATTATAGAACTTGGAGACCATGGTTTTAGGTGCATAGTATTAGGATTGTTACACAAGCAATTGAAGTGAGCTAAATGGCATGAGATTTGGTTTTTATACTCTATGTCATCATCTCAATTGCACCCACTTTTGTCTTGGCTTTTGCAACAATTAGGATTTTTATTTGGAAGGACCTTGTTCCTCTCTTAGTAAGAAAAGTGATTATTCCAAATATTGTGAAGATCCCTCAAGCCATGGCATAGTCAAAGAAGTTTACTATTGCATTCACCACCAATAATGACTTCGTGTTGGGTTTCTTGGCCTACAATCAAAGCAACAAGCAACAAACAATTGTTCACAAAGCAAGATAGTTGCATTACCTTTTCTACAGAAGTAAGGGCCTTTGCTATATTGTGGAGAATCCCATGAAGACATTCAAAGTTAATTATATTTTTAAAAAGTATGAATTGACTTGCACTGGTATGAATTGCATTCCATCTACCTGAGTAGTCCAAGAAGTATTTGTAGATGTAGAAGAAGTGAATAGCGTCAAGTGCATGAAGTTCAATTACCCTTCCATGATGCATGCTTGGCTAGAAATGGTAGACAACAACTTGTCCTATACCTTCTTTTTTTCCAATCCTTTATTCATATGCGTCTTAAAAGAATCATCTCTAAAGCTTAGAAAATCAGCTTCAAACATGTTTATAGTCCTAGATTATTGCATCAAGAAAACATTTGGAGAGCTTCATACGCTAGTATGAAAGGCAAATCAATAGCTATACCTTCTATAGAATGCATCTTGAGCTTGAACATGTCTAATTTTAGTACCATAGTTTTTTACTTTCTGTTGTTCATAAAAACCATATATCGAGACATCTACTGTATGTGTCATGAAGACAAAGATGTTGTCACCGACACAGAAATACAGACTCGAGATCTAACAAGAAGTTCAAGAAGAACTGGCAAGAACTAGATTAATTAGATGAGAACAACACCAGAGAGGTGAGCTAGAGCTCCAAGAGATGTATTGTTGAGACTGAAGAACTCTTCAGCCTCGATTCCAATATATACTTCTATTTAGGAAGCTTCTCAAGCAACTTCTACTAACTAAGAAGTTTCTAGAAGGTCCCAGAGACTTGCTTCTAAAAGGTTCTAGAAACTTATCTCTAGAAGGTTCTAAGGACTATGTCCCTAATATCTTCTACCAACTAAGAAGCTTCTAGAAGGTTCCAGAGACTTGCTTCTAGAAGGTTCTAGAAACTTGTCTCTAAAAGGTTCTAAGGATTATGTCCCTAATATCACCCCTTCCTTTAGCTTCGAGGTCTCTGAGAAGCAATGTTGTTGATCAGTACCAACGCAAGAAAATGAAGATCTGTCACATAACGTCTGCTATGAACCCCAACTGTTGTTCTTGAGGCAAGTGGTTCATCGGCCCTTCAAGCCAACGGTAGTGGCCCACTCCTTCAACTTCTGACCAAGCATGAACTTCCATGTCCTCATTATGAAATTGTCCTACAAACACGCCTTCTAGCTGACCATCGTAAGCAGGCTCAGACTCAAATACAATCACCAGTGATTGGTTACTCGGTATCCTCCATTGTCGTCGTGGTGTGGGCAGTTCTTCATCTCGGGGTCGCCTTCGTGAGCTAGTCGGTTGAGATAATCTG